TGATGATGATGCTGATGATGCTGATGATGATGACGATGATGATGATGACGTTGATGATTATTATGATGATGCTGATGATGATGACGATGATGATGATGATGATGATGATGATGATTATTATGATGATGACGATGATGATGATGCTGATGATGCTGCTGATGATGATGATGCTGATGATGTTGCTGCTGCTGCTGATGATGTTTATTATCATGCTGATGATGCTGATGCTGATGATGATGCTGATGCTGATGATGATGATGATGATGATGATGAGATGATGATGATGATGATGATGATGATGATGATGATGCTGATGATGAGGATGATGATTATGCTGATGATGATGATGTTGTTGTTGTTGTTGTTGCGGCTGCTGATGATGATTATTATGATGCTGATGCCGATGCTGCTGCTGCTGCTGCTGATGATGATGATGATGATGATGATGATGATGATGATGATGATGATGATGATGATGATGATGATGATGATGATGATGATGATGATGATGATGATGCTGGTGATGATGATGATGATGATGATGATGATGATGATGATGATGATGATGCTTCGTTCGGAGCCAGTGGCCAGAGAAAATCGGACCATGCGTCCCCTGCTCGACTGAGCGGCAAGCCTCCAAGCCAGAGCCCTGCAGGGGCCAGCAGCCCCCGCGGAGAATCCCGACACTCCCACAAGGCAGAAAGCGCCCAGGGCTCGAAGCCCCTAAGCACCCAGTCCGAGGGAGGTGGATCCGCACCCAGCTTGAACCGACCACACCCCCCCTGCAGCAAGCGGGACAGCAGCAGGAGGCAGCAGGAGACGTCTACGAGGTGCGGCCGCACCCTGGCGGCGCACGTGCCGCCAAAGCGCGGCAACGCCTGGAGAGGACACGCAGTTACTTCCATGCCCGCAGTGGCTCCACGGATGCTACACTGATCGCGGAGACGAGGCGGCGGCGCGCGCGTCCAGGCAGAGGCCAGCAGTGGCCGCTTCTCCCGCCTACCCTGCAGGCCAATGGGCTGCAGATGCAGCGCCAAGAAAGGACAGCACGGAAGCCTTGCCCGCAAACAACCTCATCCTCACCCGCTCGCGGGGAGCCTTCCAGGGTTGCGTTCTGGTCACTCCGCAGGCTTCGTCATTCGTGCTCGCCGCCCAGTCTCCGGTGAGATTGCAGCAAGGGCACGTGCCACGGCCGTCGCCGCCCTGGCCGTCCTCGTGGCCACTCTCGCTCGCGCAGGCTGTGCCGTTCTGAGGTGATTTTGCGCAAGAGAGCTCGTCTGCGCCCTTATCGAACTTGCTCCCGTGCAGCGCCTTCCGCTGCTCCGGTCCTTCGTCAAGCGTCGCTCGCCAGAGCCGGCGCGACGTCCGCTGCCCGTGGCTGGCGCCTGCGTCCGACGACTCCGACGTGCCGCTGGGCACCTTCACGAAGCGGCGGTGTCCGTGGCCACGGCGGGCTGCGTGCCCAGGGCGCCCACGGTCCCCGCTGCGGCCGACCAGCAGCAGGGGGCAGGCCACCCACACGACCGCCGGATGCCTGGCTGCAGGTCGATGGCGCGCGGCGGCCGGCATTGGGGGCGCATCGCCTCGTGGCGGCGTCGTCTGTGCCAGGCCCCCTTGATTGATCCCTAGCAGAAGCGTGGTCCAGACCCTGGTCGCAGAAGACCACCCACCACACCACCCCAACTCAACCCGAAAGCCTCAACTTGCCCTCCATTTCCAGTGGTGGGGGGTCGGGGAACATTGAAAAAGCACATGGAGCCCGTACCCCCCCCCAACCCGAAATTCGGGTCAAATTCGGGTCTTCGGGTTGGGTTGGGGTGGTCTGGTAGGTAGTCAGCAGAGCCTGTCAGTGACGGCGTTGAGCCCGAAGGCGGCCCCGACCGCAAAGCTCAGGCGACCGACGGGCTCTGACCAAGCACGTTCGAGCCCGTTGCCGGTGATGCGGAGCAGACCTCCGACCGCTGCGCGGAGCCATCTCTCTCTTCTTCCGTACCGTCGCTGCCCAGGGCGGGCCCGCCCGCGCTCCGGCAGCGCACCGCTCTCCCCTTCACTGGGGTCAGCCCTTTGGATATATGCAGAGCGAGTCCGAATCCGAGTCCGGGCCCGAGTCTCGTCCGCCTCCTCAGCGACACCGCCGTCGCCGAGCCCCTCCCCACGAGCCGTCGGCGAAGACGCGGAGAGGATCCGCAGACGCAGGCCTCCTCCGCCACCAGGCCGCGCGGGCCCGGCACCGCGCGCTTCGCCCGTGCTCCTCGCGGCGCAGCGCCTGGGGCCCCCGCCGCGCGCCCAGCCGAGCGCAGGGCGACGCCCTGCCCCTCCAGGGGCGCGCCAGCCGCGAGGCCCTCGCGCCGCCGCCTGGGCGCCGCAGGCGGCGCCACGCGGCGGCTGGGCCGTGCGCCACGCGGCGGCGGGGCCGCATCGGCGCTGGGCGCAGGCGCCGCGCGTGTTGCGCGCAGGAGCCGCGCGCAGCCGCGCGAGCGCCACGGTGCCGTCCGCCGGCGACGCCGCCAGCGCCGGCGGCCGCGAGGGCCGCTCGCGCCGCAGCGCGTCGTCTGCGCAGCCCCGCGGCGTCGGTGCCGGGCCGGGCGGCCGTGCGGCGGGCTGCCGTGGGCCAGCTGGCGGAGCGCCCCGTCGCAGGCGCCCCTCGGGCAGCTTCCCGGGGCCGCTCCCCGAGCCAGTGGCCTTCTCGTCACTGTGCTTGCCCCGGGTTGGCACCGCCGGCACGCTGCAGGACTCCTGCCATCCGCGTGCCCTCCCCCCCATCCTCTCTCCTCTCTGCGATCACTCATATGGATGCTACTCTCCTCTCTCTACAGTGTTCGGTCATCCAATGCTTTTGCGATCGGAGCGTTATGTATCCTTTGAACATGTGTGCCCGCCCCCCCGCTCCTCCTTCCTCTCGCCGCCCTCCTCCCCCCCTCTCCCTCTCCTTCGCCTCTTCCCCTCTCCTTCCTCCTCTCTCCTCCTCCGCCTCTTTTCTTCTACCTTCTCCTCTCTTCACCCTCCTCTCTTCTCCTTCCTCTCTTCTCCTCTCCCCCCGAGGGCTTTCCCAACGGCGTCCTTGCTGGCGGGCTGCAAGAGGGCGTGGTGTCCTTGTGGAATCCCTACGCGATCCTCAAGTCTAAGGACGGGGCTCCGAGGAGGACTAGGAGGCGTACGAGGAGGCGTACGAGGAGGATGAGGAGGAGGAGGAGGAGGAGGAGGTGGAGGAGGAGGAGGAGGAGTAGGATCGCAGATCGACGTTCCCTCAGCGAGAGGCAAGCCTCGAGCTGGTGGTCCACATCAAGGTGGGGAAGGGGTCTGCCCTCGGCCACGTGGTCACTTGTTGGCCTTCTTCCCACCCGGGCGTCCATCCCAGGCCTTGGCCTCCAGCGCCGTTTGCAGCAGGTAGGTGCACACGCATGCGGCGAGGGAGGGGGGGGAAACGACAGGCGACGGGCGACAGGCCCAGGGCGATAAGGAAGAGAAGGAGGCGAAGGAGTGAGGAGGGATCAGGGAGGAGATGAGATGGGGAGAAGAGGAACCGACGGATGATGAGGACGAGGACGATGGTGTTGGTGGTGGGGGTGCTGCTGCTGCTGCTGCTGCTGCTGCTGATGTTGTTGTTGTTGTTGTTGTTGTTGTTGTTGTTGTTGTTGTTGTTGTTGTTGTTGTTGTGGTTGTTGTGGTTGCTGCTGCTGCTGCTGCTGCTGCTGCTGCTGTTGTTGTTGTTGTTGTTGTTGTTGTTGTTGTTGTTGTTGTTGTTGTTGTTGTTGTTGTTGTTGTTGTTGTTGTTGTTGTTGTTGTTGTTGTTGTTGTTGTTGTTGTTGTTGCTGAGAATGATGCTGAGTACGCTCATGACGATGATGAATGTGACGATGATGTTGCTATTGTTGACGATGTCGATGTTGGTGACAATGATGACGGCGACAGGGGCAGGGGCAGGAGCAGGAGCAGGAGCAGGAGCAGGAGCAGGCGCAGGAGCAGGCGCAGGAGCAGGCGAGGAGGAGGAGGAGGAACACGAGGAGGTGGAGGAGGAGTAGGAGTAGGAGGAGGAGTAGGAGTAGTAGGAGGAGGAGGAAGGAGGAGGTGGAGGAGGAGGAGGAGGAGGAGGAGAGGCTGAGGAGGAGGGAGGAGGAGGAGGAGGAGGAGGAGGAGGAGGAGGAGGAGGAGGAGGCGGAGGAGGAGGAAGGAGGAGGAGGAGGAGAGGAGGAGGATGAAAAGGCGGAGGAGGAGGAGGAGGGAGGAGGGAGGAGGAGGAGGAGAGGAGGGAGAGGAGGAGGAGGGAGGAGAGGAGGAGGAGGAGGAGGGAGGAGGAGGAGGAGGGGAGGAAGAGGAGGAGGGGAGGAGAGGAGGAGGAGGAGGAGGAGGAGGAGGAGGAGGGGAGGAGGGAGGAGGAGGAGGAGGGAGGAGGAGGAGGAGGAAGGAGGAGTAGGAGGAGGAGAGGAAGAGGAGGAGGTGGAGGGAGGAGGAGGAGGAGGAGGAGGAGGAGGAGGAGGAAGAGGAGGAGGAGGAGGAGGAGGAGGAGGAGGAGGAGGAAGAGGAGGAAGAGGAGAACGAGGAGGAGGAGGAGGAGGAGGAGGAGGAGGAGGAGGAGGAGGAGCTTCAGGAGGATGAGAAAGAACAAACGGACTCGAGAGGGCCAGGTTGATGGCCAGTCGCAATGCACGACTGCCTTCGCCCGCGCAATCCAGGTCGGCCTTTCGGCGTAACGCCAGAAGCTCCATGGGCCCTCGGAGGGCTTGTAGCAGCCTCCAGGGCTTCCGCGAGCCCTCCAGGAACCTCCACGGGCGCCCGTCACGGGGCTTCTCGTACTTTCAGGGGGCTTGTCGGGGCCTCCAGGGGGCTCCCCATGAGGCGTCGTGAAGCTTCCATGTGTTTCCAGGGGGCCTGTTCAGTAGCGGCGCAGGGTGGTTTCGCAAGCTTGCTCGCGACCGCAATCTTTGGTAGCGCAAGGGGGTTGCTTTGATCCATAAGCCACTTGCCTTGAGGGCCTCGCCTCCAGCAGATTGCAGGGTCCGAGTAGTAGCAACTATCGGGCGTTGCCAGTTGTGTTCCTCGCCCAAGGCGTCTCCATGATTCCCGCATCGACACAGATGGCCCTCGAAACACCCCTCACGGGGCCCAGGGCCCCAGGGGTTCCAAGATTCTGCGAACAGCTGGGGGTACCGTTGGGCCAGGACCACTTCCGGCAACATCCGACGCTTGCGGTATCCAGGCAAAGGGGGCCCGAGGGGACCTCCAGGGACCTCCACGGGCGTTGGGCCACAACCCCGCGGTGAGGCGGCGGCCCTCAAGGGAGCCTCCAGAGGCAGTCAGAGAGTCGTCAGAGGGATCGCGCAGCGAGCGATGTATCTCTGATGCGATGCTTTCTGTACCGTGCTGCAGTGTGAATTGGCAGCGCGCCCTTCTGGCACAAACTGATGGCAATAACATGTTTATGCTATGATAGGTTCTGCTCAGGCTTCTGAGTACGAGTGAGGTGCAGAAGCGCTTCTTGCAAGCGCTAGTGGCATTCCCTGACGGCGCGCCGTCCTGGCAGAGGGCCCCCCCCCGAACACAAGCATCCGTGGGTCGAACATACACCCGCAACACAAGCTGTATGTTGCAGGTCCGGAGAGCCTCAGGGAGCATCCAGTGGCTTTCGGCGCTTCCCAGTGGCCTCCCCAAGGAACCCCAGGGTCCTCCGTAGCCGTTGAGGCTCAAGGCTCTTTTTTCGGCACCGCGAGCCCCACCTCACCTCTGCCCCGTTCGCGAGGGGGGGGTCGGCGGCGGCGCGTCACTCGCAGGGCCCCATGCCAGACGCGCTGGACAGCGCCGCGAAGTTCGGAATCGCTGGCTTGTCGGGGGCCTCAGGATGGATGTTCGTGCACCCCTTTGACGTAGCCAAGGTGCGGATGCAGATCAGCCAAGAGGCGGGCGCCACGCTCGCCTCCACCTGCAGGGGCATCGTCGGCGGCGAAGGTGTCGCAGGGCTCTACGCGGGTCTGAACTTCGCGCTGTGGCGGCAGGGCACCTACACCACGTCCAGGATGGGGCTCTACGACGTGATGCTCCCCGTCTTCGCCGGGGGCGACGGCAGGGTGTCGGCCGCCGGCAAGGCGGCAGCAGGCGTGGCCGCGGGCGGCATCGCTGCCACCATGTGCTGCCCCGTGGAGGTCGGCCTCGTTCGAGCTCAGGCCGACGGCCGCCTCCCCGCGGAGGAGCGGCGCAACTACAGGGGGCTGCTCGACGCCGTGCGGCGCATCTCCGCGGAGGAGGGCGTCGCCGCCCTGTGGCGCGGCGTGGGGCCCACAGTCGGCCGCGGGGCGGTGGTCAGCATGACGCAGCTCGCGAGCTACGACCAGGCCAAGGAGATGCTCACGCCGGTGCTGGGCGACGGCCTCCCGACCTTCGTGAGCTCGGCGTTCGCCAGCGGCCTGATCTACTGCACGGCCAGCCTGCCGCTCGACATCACCAAGACGCGCATTCAGAACATGAAGCCAGACCCCGCCACGGGTCAGATGCCGTATTCTGGCATGCTGGATGCGCTGGCCAAAGTTGTGCGGGCAGAAGGGGCCCTCGCGCTCTGGAAGGGCTTCCCGCCCTACTTCCTGCGCAGCGGCGGTCACACCGTCTTCATGTTCCTGTTCAAGGAGCAGTACAACAAGATGTACAAGAGCGCGCGAGGGAAGTGAATAGTGGGGGCACAGGCAGATCTTCGATACTGCCCCCATCGCGGCATTCCCCTCTACTACTCCTCGCTCTCCTCCCCATCCTGTCGCTACCGTCGCTCTTTCCGATGCAACTGAGGGTTTTCGAGTAGAAGCGTGCAGCGGAGCCCGACGCGGATCCTGCCAGCCTGCCAGCTACTCTCGGCTCGGCCGAACCAACGATAGCAAATGAGCCACCAGGGGTCCTACCAGGGGGGGTGGCGCAGGTGGATTGCGACCGCAAGCGAGGATTCCAGGACGTCTCCAGCGGGCATCCGCCCCAGGCTTCACTTGAGGATCAGGATGCTGCTGCTGCTGCTGTGGCTGCTGCTGCTGCTGATGATGCGTATGCGTATGATGATGATCATGGTGATACTTATGATGCTTATGACGGTGATGGTGATGAGGATGATGATGGTGATGATGATGCTGGTCATGGCGATGCTGCTGCTGATGATGCTGATTATGATTATGATGATAATGATGATGACGGTGGTGGTGATACTGATGATGGCGGTGATGATGATGCTGAATATTATGATGCTGATGACGATGATGCTGATGATGATGATGACGACGGCGACTACGATGCTGATGCTTCTGCTCATGATGCTGATGACGATGATGATGGTAGTGGTAATGCTGATGATTGTAATGATCAGGACGATGATGATGTGCATGCTGATGATGATGCTGCCTGCCGTCGATGATGATGACGATGCTGATGATGATGATGAAGCTGATGATGCTGTTTTTTATGATGGTGTTGATGATGCTGCTGCTGATGATAATTATGATGATGACGATGCTGATGATGTTGATGATGCTCATGACGCTGATTATGACGATGACGACGACGACTACGATGCTGCTGCTGATGATGATGACGATTTTGATGATGATGATGATGAGGAGGATGGTACTGATGATGATGATGCTGCTGATGATGATGATGACGATGATGCTGATTATGCTGATGATTCTGGTGCTCATGATGATGATGGTGTTGCTGCTGATGATGCTGATGACGATACTGATGCTGATGCTGATGATGATTATGATGATGACGATGATGATGCTGATGCTGATGCTAATGCTGTTGATGTTGATGCTGTTGATGATGATGATAATGATGCTGATAGTGATGATGGTGATGGTGATGGTGATGGTGATTATGAAGCTGATGATGATGATGCTGATGATGACGATGATGATGATGGTGGTTGTGGTGGTTGTGGTGGTTGTGGTGGTGGTGGTGGTGATGATGGTGATGGTGATGATTGTGGTGATGATGAGGATGATGATGGTGATGATGATGATGATGATGATGATGATGATGATGATGATGCTGATGAGTATGCTGATAATGATGATGACGATGATGATGGTGGTGACAATGCTGATGATTGTGATGATCAAGATGATGATGTGCATGCTGATGATGATGCTGTCGTCGATGATGATGACGATGCAGATGATGATGATGATGATGAAGCTGATGATGCTGTTTTTTTATGATGGTGTTGATGATGCTGCTGATGATGATTATGATGATGACGATGATGATGTTGATGATGCTGACGACGCTGATTATGACGACGACGACGACTACGATGCTGCTGCTGATGATGATGACGATTTTGGTGATGAGGAGGAGGATGATACTGATGATGATGCTGATTCTGCTGATGATTCTGGTGCTCATGATGATGATGGTGTTGCTGCTGATGATGCTGATGACGATGCTGATGCTGATGCTGATGAGGATTATGATGATGATGATGACGATGATGATGCTGATGCTGATGCTAATGCTGTTGATGTTGATGCTGTTGATGATGATAATGATGCTGATAGTGATGATGGTGATGGTGATGGTGATGGTGATGGTGATGGTGATGATGAAGCTGATGATGATGCTGATGATGACGATGATGATGATAGTGGTTGTAGTGGTTGTGGTGGTTGTGGTGGTGGTGGTGATGATGGTGATGGTGATGATTGTGGTGATGATGAGGATGATGATGGTGATTGTGATGATGATGATGATGATGATGATGATGATGATGATGATGATGATGATGATGATGATGATGAGTATGCTGATGAGTATGATGATGATAATGATGATGATGATGATGATGATGATGATGATGATGATGATGATGATGGTGGTGGTGGTGGTGGTGGTGGTGGTGATGATGATGATGATGATGATGATGATGATGATGATGATGATGATGACGTAGAGCCGAGCCCGTTTTTCACTTGAGCCGCGGGCGTCCGTCCAGTCCCGCGCCGGCGCAGCCGCCCCGAGCCCAGGGTGCGGACCCCGGCCTCGTGTACTCGGGGAAGATCCACAGCGGCACAGGAGTGCTTGTGTGTGCGGTGGGTGGGAGGGTTGGGAGGAGGTGGAGGAGGAGGAGAAGGAGGAGGAGGTAAAGGAGGAGGAGGAGGAGGAGGAGGAGGAGGAGGAGGAGGAGGAGGAGGAGGAGGAGGAGTAGCAGGAGGAGGAGGATGAGGAGGATGAGGAGTAGTGGAAGAGTGGAAGAGGGGATTGGATTGCGAACTCGCGGAAGCTGAAGGCCTGTCGAGACGGAGCGGCGCCACGGCTAGCAGAATATCCAGGCGCATTACAAAATTATGCACGAGCACCAAGAGAGCAAGCACAGTACAGTACGATGGGGGACCCCCGCTACAGAGCGGACGGAACGCGTCGAACCGAGGCAAGCAGCCCAGATCCGCCCAATCCTCACTGAACCCCCCACCCTCCACAACGGGCAACTGGACAGAAACGCTAAAACGGCAACATCATGACGTGCTGTGACCGTCCAGGGCACTCGGGAGGATGGGTGGAGGGAGGGAGGGTGATGAATGAAGCCGAGGATTAGAGAGGAAGGCTGGAACGCAGCCCTCAAACCTCATCTCTCGGCAAAATGCCCGGCATGGGAGCGGAGCGGCAGACGCACGGTCAGTCACAAAGACTCCTGACGCGATCGCCGCTCTCGCTCGCCGGCCCTCCTCTACCCGACAAGAAGTGGCTGGCGTGCTGTCCCGTCCAGGGCACTCGGGAGAAGGGGCGGAGGGAGGGAGGGGACATTATGTGGTGATGAACCGAGGTGGTAAGGGAGCGAAGCGGCAGACGCACGGTCAGTCACAGTGACAGCGATATCGCCTCTCTCGCCAGCCCTCCACTATGGCCTTTCTTTCTCGCGGGCCCTCCTCTGCGAGGCAACATGTGGCGCCGCAGGCGAACGCTGCTCGCTAGAGATCACAGGGCGTGCCGAGAGACGCACCATACGTACAGGAACATACACATAACGGCACAC